ATAATATCCGTACATTATTACCACAGTTTCTTTTCGTCTGATTTGATTGCATCAGTTTTTAAAACATATAAAAAATAAATAGAAGACAAAAGGGCATTATTACTTGTTTGCTGAAATGGAACAAAACAGAGAACTCTCCGATTAAAAATGCAGATAGCTTATTAAAATCTGAAGAAAGACAAAATGGATAAAACAGCAACAGAATTGTAATATTGATGCAGATATCATGGGAACTATATAAGAGACATAATAAATGACGACAGGGTGACATAACGGAAAACCTAAGTTTACGACTGCCTAAGGAAAAACGTCTGTGAATTCGAATATTCACCTTAATGAGCCAATAACAAAACGTATCACAGAATTAGAGCAAGGAAAAGAACAGAACGAAAGACAGGAACAAGAAATGCGATATTTATACGACAAGGATGTACCTGTGTTTTCTAGAATGCAAAAAAGTACGAACTGGGAACTGGAAGGAACCAGATATATTTGTGAAGGATATTAAGACGACATATTAGAGAAAGAAAAATACTTCAGAGATTGCGACATCAGAAACTACGACAGAGAAACTGTCCACTGTTCAAATCGACAGAAAGGAAAGACTAAATCGACAGGAAAGTACGACAGGGGAACACGGAATATACGACAGGAAAGTGGACAGGGAAAGTGTGACACGGAAAGTGTGACACGGAATATACGACAGGGAAAGTGTGACACGGAATATACGACAGGGAAAGTGACACAGGGAAAGTGGGACACGGAAAGTACGACTGGGACACGGAAAGTACGACACAGGGAATGTCCGACACGGAAAGTGCGACAGGGAAAGTACGACACGGAAAGAACTACAAGGAAAGTACGACGCGGAAAGTGCGACAGACAAAGTACGACACGGAAAGTGCGAAGGGAAAGTACGACAGGGAAAGTACGACGACACGACAGGAAAGTACGACAGGGAAAGTACGACACAGAATGGGAAACGGACGACAGGGAAAGTACGACAGAGAAAGTGACACTGAAATAGGACAGGGAAAGTACGACTGGGAAAAAAGTACGACACAGAAATTACGATAGGAAAGTACGACACGGAAAAGTGACACAGAATGTACGACACGGAAAGTGCGACAGGGAAAGTACGACAGAGAAAGTGCGACACTGAAATACGACAGGGAAAGTACGACGGGGAAAGTACGACAGGGAAAGTACGACACGGAAATTACGACAGGGAAAGTACGACAGGGAAAGTGCGACAGGGAAAGTACGACTGGGAAAGTACGACACAGAATGAGAAAAGTATGAAATACACGGAATATACGACAGGGAAAGTACGACTGGGAAAATGTACGACACGGAAAGTACGACTGAGAAAGTACACTGAAATACGACGGAATATACGACAGGGAAATTACGACAGGGAAAGTACGACACGACTGGGAAAGGACAAGTATGACACGGAAAGTGAGACAGGGAAAGTACGACGACGGGGAAAGTGCGACACGTAAAGACACTGAGAAAGTATGACACGGAATATACGACAGGGAAAGTACGACAGGGAAAGGACACGGAAAGTATGTGTGTGGAAAAGTACGAGGCAGATATATATATATATATATATATATATATATATATATATATATATATATAAATATAAAAATGGTTAATGGTCAGACTTGAATCAAACCAGGAAACAGTAGTATTAAAAAGTGCCCGATATACGTGTGAGTACAGTTCCATAATTTGAAGATACCTCCACAATTAGCATGAGATGAACTTGACAGAATAGTGAAACCGTTCCATCCCAAAAATGAAAAAAAACAAAAAACTCTAAGAGTCATTGAAAAAAGGATGAAATTCATTAGCAAGCTTATACTTTAAGAAACTTTTGCAACGAATGCCAAAAGTTTGTGCAAAGCTAAAGGGGGGGTATTATGACGAGAGCAAAATTTGATCATAAAATGTTTTTTTTTTGTCATAATAAAATTTCTAGTAGAAAATTATCTCTCATTTTTTTAAAAACCTGTATAATTATAAGAACAAAACTACTTTTGTGCTAATTTAATTTAAAACAGTTACTAGTGTTGATCTCAAATTTTTAACTGTAGTGTATATATATATATATATATATATATATATATATATATATATATATATATATATATATCTGTGTGTGTGTGTAACTTATGTATAAAGAAAATGAAGCCTAAAAAAAGGGAAAAATGTATCTATTTGATATGTATGAATGTTATAGACCTGGAAGCACGTCGAAGTATTTGTTCGTAGATTTAAGTCAGTTTATTCGACCTTTTGATGACGGAAATACACGAAGCGAATTTGTGAGGATGTGTCGGTGAAAAACGGAATCAAACGGAATTTCGCGGAAATATGCTTTTAAGAAAAACGCAATTCTGGTGCATAATATGACCGTGTGGGAATATCGAGCTTGCAAGTGAATAAAAATGGCCAACCTTTTCGTCAAGAAATCAAGGCCAGTTCGCATTTTAAAAAGAAATGCTGCAACATTGGCGCAACAACACTTAATACTATTACCACCGACCACTGATTTACTAAACAATTAGCTCCACTATAACAACAGCGAAAACACCACCATTACAGCTACTCGCACAACACATTTAGTAGGACAACCATCACTACCAACATTACCATCACCACGCAAAATTCACCATGTCTACCACTGCAGTACAAACTATGTATTTATCTCAATCTTTTCCTATTTATATCTCTCCCTATCTCACCCTGTTCCAATCTATCTATCTATCTATCTATCTATCTATCTATCTATCTATCTATCTATCTATCTATCTATGTTCTTATATATATATATATCTCACCCTGTTCTAATCTCTCTTTCTCTCTCTCTCTATCTATCTATCTATCTATCTATCTCTGTTTTAATTTATCTATATATCTATCTCAGCCTGTTCCAATCTATCTGTTCTAATCTATCTTTATATCTACGGGCACCTCGAGGTGGTGTAATGGTTAGCAACCTTGTCTCGTAAGAACAATTACGACTGAATGAGTTCGATCCTCACTGGGTGCCCCATACTTTCGGCCTTGTGCCACATCTAAGCTCCGCTTGGAAAATCACTATCTTTATATCTATCTCAGCCCGTTGCTATCTATCTAAGTCGGCTGATATCTATTTATTATTGAGTGCCTTAGGGTGGGATAAATTTTAACGACTGTTGTAATCAAGAATTAGCAGAAGCTCTCCTGAGACTGAAGACACTTTTATGTGAAATTTAAATTCATTGAATTATAAAAATTAATTGGAACTCAAGCAGTAAGGTATTGATTGTAGCCAGGATTGTTAGCTTCTTTTTTTTTAATCATTTCACACCCAGCAAGGCAATGAAGCCCCTAAGATGCATGAGGTTACTGAGTTTTAAGAAATATAAAAAAAAACACTATTAACGAGAGAGAACATTAAAAGAATAGCAATGAAGGCAGAAGATAATGATTGACATTTCATTTAAATTTTTGAAGATCAAAGTTGATTGGAAAGCAAGAAGTCAGAAGAGAGTTCCACAAAGAAGAAGTGCGAGAAAAGAAATTGTTAGTATAGAACTTACAGTTACATCTAGCCATTTCAACTATGGAATGATGAGACCTAGTTGCCAATCTAGTACTGCGCTTAAATTCATAAAGTCTAGGTACCATAGCAGAAAGTTCATCTGAACAGTTACCATGAAAGTATCTCTAGAGAAGGCAAGGGGAAGCTACATTACGGTAGTTAGAAAGGGACTGAAGTCGAGATATCAAGTTCTCTGTGCCACCGTCTGAGTCGCTTCCTAGTAGATATAATCGACCCATTAATTAGAAAGTCACCATCGTATGTCCGGAACTCTGCCCATGGAGGAGGCACTCTCAGTAGTCAGGAACAGACTGGCTTCGGACTCATCCCTAGGAAAACGGAAACTAGATAATCTGATGGAGATGCTGACTTTCTGTACGCAAACAATACACTTTGGAATGGGGTCAGACGAATATCGACAAGACGAGGGCGTAGCAATGGGTTCGCCATTATTACCAGAAATGGCAACCCCATACATGAAATACTTTGAAGAAATGACATTAGAATCTATATTACTAAAGCCAACCCTATGTCTCAGATACGTAGATGACACCTTCATACTCCGGCTACACCAGGAGGATGTTCAGCTACTACTGGACCGTGTGAACTCAATAAGATCATCGATACAGCTCACAATAGAGAGAGGAGAAAACAACAAACTCGCCTTCCTTGATGTAAAAATATCTCGAACAGAGCATGAGCTGCAGACATATCGCAAGCCTACAGTCAGTAGACATTACTTCATCTTCAACTCCCACCACTCATACAGTGTAAAGAAAGGGATCGTCAGCTACTTACAACATCAAGCATGTCATTAGTGGCGACCCAGAGACATGAACAACAAATGGTCAGTATAAGCAGTACCCAGAACGTAACAACTACACTGGGTAGATGAAAGCAGCGCCGACTAATAAACGCTTCGTCTAAGAATAGTTAAACTCTATCTGAAAATAAATGAAATGGAACTAATATATATATAATTTAATCATAAAATTTTAAATTGTATTGCGGTTTTTTCAAAGCTTCCATTTTTGAAACATGGTTTTTGGAGTCTTCAAAATTGAATGAAATGGAACAATATCTTTAATTTAATCACAAAATTAAATTCATGAAAAAACATGGTTAGAACTGTGTAGCGAAAAAAAATCAATGCAATTAATTTATAATATAATGCTCTGTAAATTTACATTGAGCACTATTTTGTAAAAATAAAATATCTATAAGAACACCGGATTATATATCTTGCTTCTTCTTTCTTTATATATATATATATATATATATATATATATATATATATATATATATATATATATATATATATATATATATATATTATGATAATTATAATTAAGTAATTCATCGAGTCTGAAAGAAACCTCAACAGAATGCAGAAAACACTGGACGGCCGTTTCGTCCTATATTTGGGACTCATCAGCAGCAACCTCTTCGTCACCGAGGCCCGTGGGTACAGTTGGTATGACGTTTGCATGATAACCTAGCTGTCAGGGTTTCAATTCTCGGTAGTGGATACGCACTGCTGATGAATCCCAAATATAGAACGAGACGGCCGTCCAGTACCTTCTGCATTCTGTTGAGTTTTCTTTCGGACTCGATGGATTACTTAAGTTATATATATATAATTTAAAGAGAAACAGACCACTTTAAGGCTCTATTGTAATAGTTTATTTCACCAGAGACGTTATTATTATTTTAGTACCTATAGTCTGGAGTTGTGAAAATAAAAACAAAAAACAACCCGGATAATACAATCTGTCAATAAAAATATATTTGAACAAACCGATATCAGGGGTGGGGGGAATCAGTAAAAAAAGAAAAGACTAAAGACGTCTGTGTTGGTCGAAAATAATCAATCATCACCGCAATGTCTAGTCAAAAGAAAAAAAAAACACAGAGTTAAATAAGCAAAAACTTAAAAGTGCTCGATACACTGAGTAGAGCAAAATCTAAATATTTCTATCTATCTATCTATCCATCTATCTATCTATCTATATATATATATATATATATATATATATATATATATATCAGACACACACACATATATATTTATATATATAATTTATTTTCAGATTTACCTATTCTTAGATGAAGCGTTTCGTCCTGTGACGGATTTTATCAAGGCAAGTCTTGATAAAGTCCCTCAGAGGACGAAACGCGTCATGCCTAACGATTGCGCTTAGCATGAAGCAGAGTGAATTTTATAAACCTTTCTACAAACCCCCCCGCGCCCCTTTCATTTGACTGAAACATTGAAATGGATAAATTCTGGATTAGTTTTTCCGACAGTTGTCGCATTTAAATTTCTAATTCCACCACGAACTCTGTGTATATCGGGGTTAAATAAGACTAACGAAGCTTTTGTCGGTCGAAATAGACCTATTCTCAGGGAATTTTGGATTTTATTCTGTACTAATTATTTGCTCTGTAAAAATAAATACATTGAGTTTTTTTTGTGGATCAGTTTTAATATTTTATTTTACTGTGTGTGTGTGTGTGTGTGTGTGTGTGTGTGTGTGTGTGCGCGTGCGCGTATGTCCTTAATTTCCGTACAAACAATTATTTTTATTTCATGGATGACGAAATTAATTTCGATTATTCCAAAATTTATTTCCATGTTATAAAAGTATTATTGCACCCAAAAATTAGTCGCAAATAATTACGTAAAAAAACGCCGAAAACAATGCCTGTAATGAAAACTTGGGAATCCAAAATCTCAGGGTTGTGAATCCGGATACGGCCCGGGATGTTTTTAATTTGCTCACGGTGTTGGTCTGATTCCCAAATTGTATGATATGTTGGGCTTTGGCCTCTAGGAGTAAAGTTGAAATATCGTGACACAGTGACATAAGGGTATTCGAATTTATTATATAGAAGAAGAAGATGAGCCATTGAAAGTTAGAGTGAGTACATTCCCTACATTTATTGTTGTCGAATGCGCAGGCAGGTAGATGGAAAAAAAAACACTATTTCAAAAATCGAGATATTCTTCTCAAATATGGCTATTCTCTAAAAATAACGTTTAGCGTATTAAAAATATATCAGATTAAAAATAAAATCCATTATATATATATATATATATATATATATATATATATATATATATATATATATATATATATATATGTGTGTCCACAAACACATCTGGTTATATTCTGTTACAAAGTTATTTGCAATTTCCGGTTTCTAGAACATAACGTCGGAAATTCAAGAATCTGCACAAACGTAAATGTATTTAAATCTTAATTTATGTTGTTTTTTGGGTTGATTTATTGACATCACACAGATAATCGTTGTTTCCTCGGTATCAAGGACGTTGCCGTAGTAACTTTAGCAAGAAGGCGATCGTTCAGGTGCATGACAACTAAATATTTACGAATGAACACCGCCTATTGAGCGCCAGGACAACTCAGCACCAGAAAAACCTTAACTTTTTTAAATAACCGAATAAAAGCAATTTATTAAGGATTAAAAGCTTAATACGAATCAAAGGGACACAGCACTCTAACTTTCAATAGCTCATCTTCTTCTTCTATGTAATAAATGCGAATGTCAGTGTGTCACTGTGTCACACCTTTTCAAATTTACTCCTAGAAGCCGTAGCCCAATATATCATACCATTTTGGAATCAGACCAACTCCGTTAGCAACTTAAAAAAATTCCGGGCCGGATCTGGATCGGCAACCCCGAAATTTTGGATTCCCTAGTTTTCATTACTGCCATTTGATTTTGGCGACGTTTTGCGGCAATTTTTTTTTTTTTTTTTTTTTTTTTACGATAACAATTTTTATAACTTATCATAAATTTGGGAATAATCGAAATTAAATTGAGAAATCCAGCGAAAGTCACCATGAAATAAAAATAATTGTTTGTACGGAAAGTAA